TCTAAACTAACACAAGTCTCATTAAGTGTCCAGTTTAAGGGTATTACACAGAAACACACCACAGGAACATGAATCAAATGTGTACTTTATTCATTTATAATAAATTCATAATGTACATAATTTTGATTGAAGCTAAGGGCATACAACTGTCTAACCCCAACCTCAGGCCTCAAACAAGCACTGCAATCTTCTCCAAAAGCCTCCTCTAATTGGGCTGAATGATTGTTAACCAATCAACTCTCCATACAACCTATCTATGGGATTAAAAAAGGGAAAAAAAGGAAGAATGTAGGAACCTTGCTCCGATACCAAGTTGTAAATCCCACCCATAAAAATTTGAAATAAAATAGAAAAGAAAAGGAAGATTGAAGACGATGAAAGAGGGAAAATGTAGAAGATGGAAGAGAAAGGAGGAAAGGAAAGAAGGGTCAATCGAACCTCTATCCAGTCCCCCCACAATTATCTTTTATTCTTAGATTCTAAAGTGAGTACAATTACACGAATACCCTTGGTATGATGGCCAACACTAAAAACAATAATAAAAGAAAGAAAACAGGTCCGTTACTAAGGCCCACTAATCACAAACATAAAACATAAACAGGATTAAATAAAAACAAGAAAAATATGGCCCATTCGGCCCATCATCTCTACAACTTCAAAGATTTTTAAGTCCTGATGCTCTCCAATTATTTAGTACTTTTGACAAGGTTTTCCTCAATACTTCTACACTGGATTGTAGAATTTGGACAATCTCAGCTTCAAGGTTCATCCTGTGCCTCGTTCATTAAGTCCCTTGCCCCTTCACCTCGATCTAAGACCTTGCAAGTAAAAGATATTTGAAGTAGCCCAATTCAACTCAAAATTAGGGCTTTCTGTTTGGATGTTTATTTCTAAAATCAACATTGTTGAGACTCTGCAAAAGACCTTGGTGTTTATCCCACCATCGGTGTATCTTTGTAAAGTTAATGGAGAATCTATTCATCACCTTCTAGTCTCCCATTCCTGCTCATTGTGATTGGGCATGGTTCTTCTCTCATTGCATCTGGCAGCTTGACACCTCCCTCTAATGTGGTGGGCTTATTCAAAACCTCTACCATCCCTTCGCATAGAAAGAGAGGAAAAATAATGTGGAAATGCACCAGGGCAGCAATAACAATAAGAAATCATTGAAACTATATCAGTAAGGGTTGTGCATTGGATCAAAACTTCTGACAACAAAAAGTTGTCAGAAAAACTGTCAAACCCAATACAAGACAGACCCACTCAACTGTATTACAAACTATATTACAACTGAGCCCAGTACTTATGTTGTCTTTTGAACCCCTTTCTTTAGCTAAGCCATCTGCAAAACTATTAGCAGATCTCCTAATCCACTTGATTGGAATCGTCATATCTTTTGATAGCCATTTGAAGCACCTGAATTCATTTCTTTGCTTCCAAATCACACCTTCAACTTTTTTTAATCACCCCACAACCAACTTCAAATCACCTTCAAGAACCAACCTTCCAATTCCCATATCTTTAGCCATCTTTACTCCAAATACTGCAACAAAGAATTCTGCACTTACAGAATCACCTTGCTCAATTGGAGTTCTTTGAACCCTTTCTCAACAGAAGACATACATAGAAACAGGCAATGGATGATTTGTTCATCAGCTAAACAAAAAGATCTTGGGCATTGAAGTACACCCAGCACCAAATAACATCATCAAATTAAACTTTGATAGATATAGTTTGGGTAACACAGTACCTTCTGGAGTCAGAAGAGTCTTTCGAGAACACAACAGAAATATCCTAGCCATCCATCTTCAGAGAACCTTTGTACATGGAAAATTTAATAAGGGCATAACTGAAGCCAATAGTACAGAGACTGCAATAAGGAAAAGGCTAGTAACATCTTTTTCAGTGGAAGGTGAGTCGAAAGTAATAGTGGAATGACCCAAAGAAAACAGCATAGGATCCTAGCATTACACAGCATCATATTTAAAGAGACAAGGGCTCTCAAGGAAGGAATAGAAATTGAATACACTTGGGTACACAGATCAGCAAACTCTATAGCAGATACTCTTGGGTACACAAACCAGCAACATATTCCAGGTTGTCTGAGGCTTCAGTTTGCAGGGGAATGGTATGTCAGTAATTTTGGAAGGGGAGGATGGGATGATTTTGAATGTCAGATTGAATGATGCGAGTAATCAAGGCAAGGCATACAATCTGCAGCCTGAGAGCAGTGGGAAAGTCTACGAAAGCTGTAGCAGAGGAAGTTGGGAAGATGAAATGTTGTCTGCAAAAAGAAGATGAGGAGGCAATACTTTTGAAGGGAAAAGAGGTAAATCTGGAAGGGAATTGGGATAGAAGAGTCAAGAGAAAGACACATGGGGTCGGGTGACCTGGAGAGTAGAGAAGCCAAAAAGTCAAATAATAGGGCTTTGCGAGAAAAGTGGAACAGAATTTTTTAGGTAATGAGGAGGAGAGAGGTTTGAGTGGGGACCACTTCAGTTAAAAAGGTTTAAAAGAGATAGGAAGGGGTAACTGGAGGAAGAGGGTTGAGATTTTAAAGGGAAGGGGAAAAGTATTGAAGGCATAAAGTGAAAAGGGTAGGAGCTGCAACTGATCAAAGTAGAACGGCCAAGGAGAATAGCTCGAAGGTTGATTAGGTTTGGGTTATTACAAGGTTCAACAATAGAAGAAAGATTATAGTGGTTAGAAAGGGGAATGAAGAACAAGGGTGATGTGGTCAATCAAGGAGGAAAGGTCGACTCAAGTTCCAATGAGAAGTTAAGAGCCGCAGGAATTGGTCAACTCGTTTGTGGTTACAGATCAAGTAGCGGGGCTCCCAGGACCTTCCCAATACTTTCAATATTCAGACAGTAGATCTACAGATGTTCCAGTGAGGGAGTCAATTGAGGGATTAGTGGTGGCACACCCAGTTGTTGGTCAAATTGACTTAATAGAGGAGACATAGGGGTCATTTAGTCTTGACAAGGTACAAGAACCACGTTTCTCTAGTTTAGTTTCATGCTCAATCGCGGATCTTTCTACTCAGAGTAACACTGGAAATGAATTTAGTGGGGCGGATGTCTGTAGGGAGATAATTTCATGTGGCTGAGGTGGCTGCTCCAGGGGTGGAGGCTTTGTGATCAAAATCCTACTGTTCCTTTTGGTGGACTAGAAGTTGAAAGGAGAATTCACAGACTTTTGGTGCAGACTCAGTTGGTACGATTTCAAAGAGGAAAAAAGTAGATTTGGATTTAATAGTTGATAAGGATGTTCAACTTAGTAAGTTGTCGGGCCTTTCCCCTTTAAGGTGGCAAGGGGTTCTCTGGAACTTTCTTGGATTGGGAGAATAGTAGAAGGAAAATGCTTCAGTCAACGTAGAAAGTTGCTGTGATGACAAGGTGGAGAACATGGAGTAAGCTTTAAAGCTGGGCTGAAAATGAGGGTGATTTTTTTATCTCTTTTGTAGGGGGGGAGGGGGGGTTAGGAGATTGTGAGTTGAGATGATTCTTTTTTTTTTTTTTTTTGTTATCAGGATGTTGTATTAAGGCTGTAGTTGAGTTGTTTCGGGGGTTTTCTTTCTTATCTTGGGTGTAGTTTTATCACCTTTCTTATGTACTTTCTTTTTTCCTTTTAATGAATTTTTACTTTAGATTTCAAAAAAAAAAATAGAGGGCAGCTATTTTGGGAAGAATTGGATTTTGATTTCAAGTTTATTTGGGATTAGGTGGCAGTATCCATCCAATTAAGGGACTGCTTGTCAGCCTGTAAATATTTATTATGATTTGTTCTCAATATTAATAAAGTTATTGTTTAACTAATGAAAGAAAAAACATTTTTTGGATAAGACAAAGTAATAAAAAATAACACTAATTAAAGATCATAACGGCACCTGTTTACCTAGATTTTTTTGGCCCTATAGAACAAGGAAACTCCTCAATAGATTCAAGGTTTAAAGCTAACGAGTATTCATAGGGTGAATGATGTGTAGGTGAAATGATGTGAAGCTAATGAGTTTTCATTTCTGTACTGCTTTGTGTTGGGATTGTAGCAGTACTTGTTTGGCCTGCTGCCCTTTTCTGAGGTAGTGAGGAGATTACATTTTGCAATAAAAATGAATACATTATTTATCAAGATTCTACGTAAATAAGAAATAATACTACTCCCTCAACAAGTACAAACACCATTATAGGCATTTTGAATTTACAAGGATCGTAGAGAATCACTTGTCTCTTATGTTTCACACAGAAAGGGAGGAAAAAAGAAATTTCTTACCAAGGTTAAAAAGCACTCCAGGAAAACTTAAGACAATATAAACATTATGCAAATGTCAATATGTTAGGTTTAGAAGACAAATTACTTCAATCACATTACATACCAAGGTAATTCATGTTCTTGACATTATATAAGCTTGATATTAATATGATAAGCCATAAAGAAGCAATACATATCAACAAAAAAAAATACCTATTAATACCTTATTACTGACAAAAAGCAACTCTTCCCCATGATCATTCTTCCAAGATGTCACTTGACCTCCATACAAGTATACCTGCAACAAGCAGAAGAGTATGATTGCTCTTTTTATGGTAAGAAACGAATAGAAAAAGCAGTATAAGATCTTGCGAACAAGGCAGTGTAAGCCTACCCAAAACAACCTAAGAACTCAAATATTACTCAATTATGTAGCCAAATCTCATAATCCAAACAACCTAGCCTCTAAAATCAAATAAAAAGGAAATGCATCAAATACTTACAAAGACAAGTAGAAACAGAAGGGTATAATTGTTATCAACTTTCAAGACAAAGAGATGCAATGCAGATAAAAAACACAAGGGTATGATACTATGATCATTTAATTTCCGAAATAAGAAAATAAGTCTAAATGCAGAATAAACAGTTGTTAAACTTCTATTAAAAATGTATAGAAAAAATAACATGTAATAAATGGAGGCAATGCAACAAAAATCACTTTTTTTTAAAATAAAAGAAGAAAATTATTGAAAAATAAAAGCAGATTACAACACTACAGGGGTGTTAAGATAACACCCGAACCCTCTACCAACCCCAACAAAGCTTACAAAGACACAAGACTAACCAAAGAAGAACTAAGAACCCCCCCCCCCATACAGCAAAGCTCACAGAGACACAAAACAAACAAAAGGAAAACTGATCCCTTCATACAACAAGGCTTTCAATGCTTTCAATGGCTCAAACAGACAAAAAGGAAAGACAAAACCACCCTTCAAACATGGGCTAGTCTTCAGGAAGCTTAACACTGGTTTTTTCAAGTTCATCTTCAAAAGCAAGGAAGCAAGTAATATCCTGTTGAGTGAACAGAACAATGCAACAAAAATCACAAAAATGCACTTTGAAGAAACAGAGAAATATTTCCACATTATTTATGAGATTAGGTGTCCCAGGGTTTCTTCATTTTCAGAATAGATATCCCAGATTGCCAATTAATACCAGTGTCGCATGGACAAGGACATGGAAATCATAATCTAACATCATGTCCCAGTCAAACTTGGCAAGAAGAAAATACAAGGACCCATGGATAAATAATTGAGAAGTATATTAATTTAGTCTATTTTTTGGTATTCTAACATTATATAGCTATAAAAATGTTAGAACTTTATCATTTTTACTTAAAAATGGTTTCTAGAAAAAATGACATTGACTGTGTAGACTGAGACACTGGTTATTTATTTATGTCAAATAAGCAAGTAAATAAAAAAAAATGTTATGTTGAAGTGTCAAACAATAATCCATGGAGTGTTAGAATACAACACATGTCTGATATAGAACTTCATCCGCTCAAGAGAACCCAAAACACTGATAAATACATGACTTAAAAGTACTGGCTAACAATAATTACCTCTTATAGTAGAAGGAAAAATAATACTAAAGCAAAAAAGAACAGGAAGTATTGCAATGTCAACAGACAAACTTATTCGTTCTTTTCTACCAATAAGATCAGAGCACTCCTGCTTGCTCTTCACGTAAGACATGAAGCCCTACTCAGATGCCAAACTAAAACCTATCTGACTCCACAATTGAGTTTAATAATGGCTCAACTAAAACCTATCTGACTCCACCTACCAAGAGTTTTATGGCACATGATCCCAAAACCAATTGTACTCCAAACGATGAACAGCGTGATCACTTACCGTTTCATTCTGCAAAACCTCCAGACTGTTGAAGTCACATGTTAATGCACTCTCACCATCCATTGGTTAGAAAGCTTCATTAGTAAAAGTTGTCCTATATGAGCCACAACATCCTGAAGAATTGCATATTGTTTTTTTTTATAGGAAAACGAATTGCATATTGTTGTCCAAAGCTTATGTTACACTGTTTACCAGCATTCCATCTGCTGCTATTTTAACCAAAATTTAGTTACAAAAGGTTACAGAAATGCCCAATAAGGCAAGGATAATTTAGACATCATAACATAATTTTCAAACTAATAAAACTTCTCATTAGCTTTATTAGTTGGTGCCATTAACTTTTAGATTGTAAATAGCAACAATCAAAAAACAAGGCAATCTTATTGCGGATCAAGTGGGCATGATGTTGTCATCAAAAAGTTCTCTGCAAATCATCCATGAATTTATCCCAACTCAATATCAATGAACCCAGTCTTCAAATTCAAAACAAGAAAACAACTGTAACACATACGGGAGAAAAACACATAGAACTCCCAAAACTTGCAAACCCCCTTATAACAACAACCAACATCAGAGGCCGGAGGAGTTAGAAACTTTGCAGATGATGATAACAAATAAACAAGGAATAAGCTCCTCAGTAAAAACACAGTTTCACAAACTAAAAAGAAGAAAGAAATGAAGGAAGTTCTATAATTGATGGTGCTGATAAAGGACAAAGCCAAATGCATGTCATTCGATCATGCAATTTCTTGGATAACAAGTGGTGTCAACAGGAATGGTAAAAACATTCAAGAGGGCGTCCATCAAAATTGCAACAACAGTCGGTGTCTATGGACACAAATGTACCTACTGGAACCAAAAATCATCCTTCCCCGAAAGCTAACAAAACAGATCTATCTTATGTGTTAAATTGTAGTGTTTATTGTAGGGGTATTTTAGTCTTTTCTGTAATGTTCTCTCTATTATTTATTAGTTCGATCTCCACAGGGTTCCAGCTTTCGTTCTTCTCCTTATTCTTCTTCTCTTCTCTCTGAACTTCTATTCCGACTTGTTCTGGGAATTTTATACACTTTTTCCAAATCTATTCCATATTTTCAGGTCTGATCACATTATGTCAAACCACGTACTCTCCTAAACCATTTCCTTCAAGAGATCCAACACAATTGCATGCATGCAACACCGCAACTGACAACAGAGGGCTCGAACATTGATTATAATCAACAAAAACAACACTATACATAAGCAAGATTCAAAATCTAGTACCGAATTCACCATACAACAAATACAATCAATCATCAGGGACAAATTAATAGAACATCATCCCAACCAGATACTTCAAGAACCGAGAAAGAAAACACAAGAAACCAACAGAATATCACATGAAGCAATAGATCCGCGAAATGAACAAGACTAAAAACATCAAGAACCAAAGATCCACCACAATCCATCCAAGGCATCAAAAAGTGCATTGGAAAACAAGTTCATTCAATCAAGATTATCCGCCCAATTCAAGAAACAAACGAGAGAGACTAAAAGAAATGGAACGAAATTCCTGACCTCGGCAGAGCTGCCGCGAACCTCTCTCAGAACGACCTTGTCGAGGCCATTAATGCCCTTACAGAGCTCAACTGAAACCCTTTCGCTCGACATCGCTCAAAGCCCATAACAAGGCGAAAACCCCTCGAACTCGCTTCACTCTTCTGTTCTCTGCCTTCCAACCTACAAATGGCAAAAAAATCTTTCAAACCTCACAATTTATATCCCTCAATAACCGAACCTCTTTCCGTATAAATAGAGACTAGAGAGAGGAGAGAGAGCGCTACCGTGGTGTGATGTGAAAGATACAGTGATTATTTTTCGCTTTTTTCTCTTTTTCTACTCAAAGCACTTTTGAGGGGGTTTGAGGTGCTTTCTATGTTGAACAGGCGACGAGTGGACGAGGCCATCATCTGACGAAAATGCCCTCTTTATACAAAAAAATGGCTACCATACCTCGTGAAGTTGATTGGGCTGTATACTGTTGCTTGTAATCTCTGACCATACACGTAGCCCATAAGGAACATAGCCCACCAGTTCAACGATAAGGATCGCGTAGAGGTCGAAGGCTGATCAAGAGGTGGGGCCCACTACATGATTAGTCATGCAGAGGACTCATGTCTCGGATACTTGTGTCGTGAACTTGTGAGAACAAATACTGCCAAGTATTTGGACACGTCAGCGAATAAAACGAAGAGACACAGAACACTGCCATTATCCAAACCACACACTCCACACTTCCAGATCTCTGGATCTTTAATCGGGTATAACCCGAGAACCGAAAACGTTTCCGCATACCCATTTCCCTCTTCTCTGGTGCGTCTTTTCCGGCTTAAAGAACAGATTCATGATTGTTTACTCGTTATCAGATGCGAATGTTGAAGTGATCCAATCTCGGGAAGAAGACGTTGATCTCTGAGAACTGAGATGCGTTCGTGTTGTTTTCAGTCATAGAAGGGATTACATATTTTAGCAGAGAACGATCCAACAGAGTACTCTTGGATTGAATTCCGGTAAAGAAGTTGTCGATCAAAGTTTCAGAATACGCAACTGACAGCTCTTGCTGAGAGTGTCATACCATAAGATGTGAAGAGTCCGGGAGCGGGACTCCATCAACGCTGATTGTACTTTGGGAGCATTAACACGAGCAGAAATCTTATTGCGAGGCGAGACGTATACCGGCAATAAATTCATTCTCCATTTATAGCTGGCCAGAGGGGGTCGCCGGAGATGGGTGGCCGGAGAGAGGAACTAAGGAAGGTACAGGGAAGGCGGTTAGGACAGATGGCAGCCCGGGAGAGTGTAAATGATGAGAACAAAGCCAGGAACAAGATTCGGTTAGAAGAGAAGGAACTGAGAAGCAGCGAGGAAAAGGTGCTGATGATGCCTGCACGGCTGCACTTGATTTGCAGCTAACGGGAAATCAGATAGAAACTGACGTCCTTGTCCTTGGCCCACCTTCTAATTGTCTCTTCTGCTGTTCTGCATGAAAAATGGGTTAATTCATTGTGCTATTTTTTATTTTTATTCTTTTCCTTAATAATTCATCGGGGATTTATCAAAAAAAAAGAATAATTCAGTGGAGCAATAGTGATTTAATGGGAAAATTCCCTATTAATATCCGTACTTTGGGTCTACCGTCACTTTGGTCCTCGTGATAATTCAATATTTCAATTTTCAAAATGTACCAATTTGATATTTACCACTAATCAGCGGCTAAGTGGCATTCGAGAAGACATAAATGTTATTTGAGCTTCATCTAATTTTCCTTATCAATTATCTAAATGTTGATAAAAAATGAACAATTCCAATCTTCTATCAACCATCCAAGTGAGACATGACCTAACGGCCATGACTATTTTATAAGCAATTCGTTCCCTAGAAAATCACCGAATGGTCAAAAAACTTTTCATAAGCAATTTGTTTCCTAGAAAATCACTTAATGGTCAAAAAAATTTCATGACTACTTCATACGAAAACACATTTGGTTCTGTTTCATGCCACATCAGTAAGAAAAAATGTTTCTCCCAAATAACATATTTGGCAGCGTAGCGTATAAATTTACTTCGAAACCTGAATAAAATGCATAATTTTATTCTAATCCAATGGAATAAGTATAACAAAACTCACTTCGAAACCTGACTAAATAATTTAATACATATGAATTTACAAATAAATAGCAATGTTTAACGTTTTAAGCAAATGAAACATAAATTTAAGTAAATATGATATAAAGCATAGAAAATTAGAAACAAGCTAGATTTAACTCCAAACAAAAATAGCTGAAAAAAATAAAAAAAAATGTATTTTATTAAAATTATTACTAAAAGTATGAGCAAGCATAAACCTTTTGCAATAAGTACATAAAAATTACTTCTATTTGCATGAATACTTTAACAAATATTAAATTTACAAATAAATAGTTGGGATTAAAAAGTTTGAAGTAAATAAAACATAATTTTAAAGCATAGAAAATTAGAAAAAAATCATTCAAATATATATACATATAAAAAGTTTATTCAAAAGACAACATTATTTTATTAAAAATAATTTGCACATGGGTTTAAATAACCGCATTAAATATACACAACACTTCAAATAAATAACCACATTAATGATTTAAAGAATAGAAAATTAGAAAAAAGTAAGGTTTAAAAAAGCTTTAAAAATTTTAAGAATTCTAAATAAGTAACATAAATAAATTTAGGTCTCATTTGGTTCACAATCGGAATCGGAATTGGAATTGGAACGGCCCATTCCCATAGTCTGTTTGGTTCAGACAAGAATGAGAAAGGGAATGGAAATACGTAGGAATGGGATTTCATTCCCTAGGGAGGGGCAGGGAATGGCTATTCCCTAAAATGGAGGAATGCCATTCTAGCAATAATGGGAATGGGATTCTGATTCCATCCAACCAAACAGTTGGAATCGGAATAATCCATTCCGATTCCGATTCCAGACCCCTATTCCCATGAACCAAATAGAACCTTAACATGGAAAAGTGAAGCACTCAAAAAATGCATCTTTTTGTTGAATGAGAAAGGAAATAGTTTCCCCTCAGAAGGAATTGAAGACTCATCATTCTCTTAAATTTTCCGTGTATTTGGCATAGTGTGGAAAATAAATTTTGAAAGATTTAGAAGTATACTACATATGAACCAAGAGGACCAATGTTTTACATCATTTAATTATTTGGGAACTCTTAGTATGCTTCATATTTTATCTAATTGACGTACCACTCTAAGACTCCAATGTAGTCCCAATCAAGGTTTTTAAAACTAGACTAAATAGGGAACTATTCTAGGTCTGGTTCTCATGTTGAATGGTCTAACCGTCCAGTCCAAATAGACAGCCTACTCTAGGAGAGAAAAAAAAAAAGGCCAAAAACCATTGTTCGAGTCAATAGTGTTGAAGGGATGAGAGATTCATCATATGGATGGCTGAACCCTGTAGGAATATTGGGCGAAATTTCAAAAATTTCTCTCTCCCATTTGGGAATCGCATTCCCTATTTTAGAAAACTGCATTTTCAATGATCAATCTTGAACCCAAAACCGGACCAGATCTGAAACCAAAAGGGATGAGAGGGATATACCTGATACGAAGTAGCAATAACTCCTAATGAAGGTGTCCACGCCCAAAGAGAAGACCAAAATCCGCTTCCACTGAAGATGACATAGTGTGTAAAGAAGCAGGATCAGTAGGATAGCTCTTTAGCAAGAACTAGGATTCTTCAGCAAGAATCGAATAGGGGCTGGTGAGCATGACTTCAGATTGTTTCTTCATTGAAGAAACAATATCAAGAACCTTTCTTTATCTATTCCACAAGAGGAGATCAAACTGGGTAGGAATGGCAAGAATAAGAGAGAATTCTACAGGTTGTTGTGTGTTAAAATCGAGGAATTCACCCCCTATTTATAGTCTTCTTTGGATCAGCCTCCTAATCTAATTAGGAGAGAGTTTCTTGATCCAAATCTGATATTTGGATCTCGTCTCTTAAATGGATAAGACTTATCTTATCCTTTCAGCTAATCCTAATTAGATTTTGCCTCTTTTTAATTAACTAGTTTAAGCCCAGTTCGAATTGGACTTTAGGCCCATTAAGCTTATGTGCTCACTTACCCCTTTAACCTACTGTCCATTTGGCTCTCTTTGTATGGCGTGGAACCCAAACATTGATATACACATCAGCCACATGGGTTCAGCCCAGCCTTTGTTACAAGAACTGGCCGAATTCACTATAGGAGATAGTGAACCCTTGAGTCCATCACCATGAGCTCTTAATGGGCCCAACATTTACACTAAATGATCCTTGGGTCTAGCCACCTTATGAAAACCCAATGACTGTGGGCAGATACAAGATTAGCCCATCAGGTATTACTCTCAATGGTCTTACACTTAACCTCTCAGCCCATAATGATCAAACACTGCCCGACAAAAGAGGACCTCTCCCTCGGTTGCACTCTCTAATCACATGGATCCCAAGAATTAAAACATTTTACAAACATTTTGAAGCATTTGAAATCAACTGTCGTCATTTTAGGTTTCCATCAGAGAAAGTGCATTCCCCGATCATTCACTTTGTCCGACAAAGGGGTTGATCCTATCACTATGATCACCCACTCAAGTGAATTCTCGGACTGTCCCAACATACCTAGGTTTTGACCCCCTCTAAGGATCTCACTGATTGACATATCAAAGACAGCCCAATTCAACACCTAATGCAATACCATAATCGAGTGTAGGGTCAGGTGTAACATTCCAGTTTTTCCCATCTATCTCCAAGGTGCATGGCAATACTGGAATTTGGTCCGGTTCAGGGTTTTAAGAAAACCCACACTACATGTACCTCAGGTCTCACCTTGGTAGGTGAGACAAGCCACCCCAACCAACATGGCGGCACATTAGTGTTAGCCTTGACAGGATAAATCTCCCCAAATCTATCCAACGGTAGTGAAAATTCTAAACTAACACAAGTCTCATAAGTGTCCAATTTAAGGGTATTACACAGAGACACACCACAATGACATGAATCAATTATATACTTTATTCATTTACAATAAATGTCAAAAGATACATCAATCTGATTGGAGCTAAGGGCATAACTGTCTAACAACTCCTACTTGCACTTAGGTCCAATCGGGTACAAGTTGGAGTCCCAGACTTTCCACGTGTTTCTTAAATACTTTCTGTGTTAGTGGCTTAGTCAATGGGTCTGCCACATTATCCGTTGATGCTACCTTTTGAATCAAGATGTCCCCTCTACCAACTATCTCCCGCAGTACATGATACTTCCTCTCGATGTGCTTTGACTTCGAGTTGGATCGTGGCTCCTTAGCCTGAGCTATAACTCCATT